TATCTCTAGTCCGGGTGCAATATAAGAATAAACATTTACATGATAAACTGATAAAAAATAATAAACCCTGTCACTGAGAAGGTACACAATAGTCCGTTAAGGAAAACGAAAAAAACATTCGGGGAAAAGAAACATCTGATATAAAAATGCGAATGAAAAAACTGTGGTGTCAGAATAAAAAAAAAAGACGAGAAGACATCAAGACATGAGAGAATTAGTTTTTATTTCAGAGTTTATATTCGAGTTTATACCAGTATTTTTGAGTTGGAGTCTATTACATTGAAGTTTTTATATATTTGTTTTTGGAGCTTATGAGTGAATTATGAACTTTATGAAACCTGTTTTGAATGCTTAAAACGTGAAGAAAAATTCTATTGTCAGCTTCTAATGTATTTTATTGTACTGTTTTCAATTCCTCGACAAATTCTATACTTGATATTGAGTGTCTATTTATCTTTAATTGAGAGACATTTATCTTTAATTGTAACATAAAAATATCCAATGTTTTATGTTCAAACTGAATTATTTCCGCATTATTAATTAACAAGAAACTCGATAGTTTTTTTAACCATTTTTTAACTGGATTATCTTTTTTGAATAAAAAATCTATGCGGTCTGCATTGACACTTAGATTCAACATTATCTGAATCAACTTTTGAGCCAATTGACCAAAATATGAAAGCTGCAGTTTTTTCTTGTTTTAGAATAACCACACCTTACGTAACCATAACTTCAATAAAACTATCGTGATAGAATTTCATCAGACCATGGTCCTGTATTTTCTTCTAGATTTTAAAGGATGGAAACTTTTGATGTTTTACTTTTAATGCAATCTGCTAATGACAGCGGTAGTGTGTATTTAATGGGTAGCTAAATACATTTCTTGAATCCATTTTTTGGTTTAAGTAATCTATATAAATCTAATTGATTGCTAAATACATTTCTTGAATCCAATTTTTTTGCTTTTACGTGATTATACAAATAGTTGAAAATAAATTTCGTTATCAAATAAGTTTTTGTTTGAGCTATTATTGACCTCTTCTTTCAGATTAGAAAATGTTTTGATTTGAAACTCTTTTATAAAATCAAATACCGATTTAGTGTTTCAAAAGAAAAATCTTTCATTCAACAATACCATTTGATAATAAACTATTACAAAAAAATGAAAATTTCCTAAAAGTAAAATTCTAAACATGATAACTATTTTATGAAACTAAACATAATAAACTATTTTATGAAACTTTATATAGCTTACTTATATATTTGAAGAAGAGTTTGATCAGACAGAAGATCAAACTATTATTGATAATATCTCTGAGCATCTGTCTGAATTTAAATTGAATGCCAGCAAAAAAGAATTTGAAAATTTGAAGACAAAACATGAAACCAGCAGTTTCACATAAGATTTGTTAACTCTAAACGTAACTAATTTCAAGTTGGCACACCTCTCACAAAGTATTGCTATCTTATTTAGAAAAGATTAAAACCCTGCTAAACTCGTTATATACTGTTAGAGTTGAAAAGTGGTAACCGCTACTTCTGTGCATTCGAGATATTGTAATTTATTCTTTTGCTTATAACAATTACAATTTCGCCAGGTGTTTGACACATTACCTAGCAGAAATTATTGCGTTTGCAGATGATTTACCAGTAGTCAATGAAGAGCTTACAAATGAAATTTTTTTTGTTTAACCTAGTGAGTTTATCGCATTTGCTAAAAACCCGATTAAGTTGTTGAGGTTTACCGAGATACTAAAATCCTCTAGGAGAAAAGCCTCTAGAAAAGACACAAGAAAATTGTCAATGAAAAGTTATGCACTGTAAAGAAAAGTAATGTGGTGGGAATTGAACTCTGAACTTCTTACTTATGTAGCGAGCGCTCTATCACCACACAGTGCCGGTTTAACCACTGGACACTTATATACTGGACACTAATAAACTGGACTCGTGTCAGGAGGCCACGAAGTTTAAGAAGCATTTAAATGAATATTAGAGAAAGATGAATTTGAATGAAAAATTACTATTAGCCTGTACTTTTGGCGTCCTCTCACGTCCAAGAGAATTTTAATCTTAGCATTACAGCGCATAACGACGTATTGCAAACTAGACATTTTATTTTTTTAACGACTGGAAAGAACTTTTAAGTTCGAACATAATGGTGAAAAAAGAAATTTAAAATACATGGATACTTTATTCATTGCTCATTCTCATAGGATTATTATCTCCGCGGATCAGACAAAAAACTAGGATCGATACGCAACGGAAACTTTATTGGATGTATTGAGCTATTAGTAAAATTTGATCCTTTCCTCGCCCAACATTTGATAACTCATGGAAACAAAAAAAAATGTATGTCATATTTATCTAGTGTTTGCAAAAAACTCATTCACTTAGCCGCCGAGGTTATGGAATTTATTGGTAACATGATCAATCCTCGTTCATCGTTGATTCCCAATGTACAAAATGGAAAACTATTTGAGCGGCTCTTAGCATTTATTTCCATAATCATTTTATTCCCATTTATTCCCATGCATAATCATTTTATTCCCATTTATTCCCATGCATAATCATTTTATTCCCATTTATTCCCATGCATAATCATTTTATTCCTATTTATTCCCGTGCATAATTATTTTATTGCCATTTATTCCCATGCATCAATCATTTTGCAACTTCCGTGCTTAAAATTGTTTTGAAAAAATTAGATTAGTATGCAATCAACATTCAAAATAGCTGTGGCCAGTCATACAATGCTAGTTATATGTCTGGTATCTATTTAGGTTTACAAGCAAGATTTAAAGAGATCAACGTTCTCGTTGAATAGATTCCGTGTGCTGCTCACTATTTGAACCTAGTAGGAGTGAGTGTCGCTCAATCCAACGGAGCTGCTGTTGATTTCTTTAGCTTTCTTCAAAAAATGAATAACTTCCTTTCTGCATCAACGCATTGATATCTTAAAATCAAACTTTATTGCATTAACACATCAACGTATCTTAAAGTCAAAGTTCCTTGCTGGAATACGTTTTAAGGTTCCCTAGACTCTCTCACATTCTCGTTGGTCAGCTCGTGTTGATGCTTATTAAACAATTGAAAAGGGTTATTCTATTTATAAGGTGATTAAGGATAATTCAGAAAATTGATTAAAAACATTTTTTATTTGTTGTTGTGCACACTTATTAACAAATATTTTTTATATAGTTGGCTCTTCTTGATATTAACGACAATCAGAAATTAAAATCAAGAGCAAAGGCTTTTGGACTTTTGACTAAAATGGAACAACTTGAGACAGCTATTTTAATAATCATTTGGAATAGAATCATGGAATGGTTAAAAAAGTTAACAGTTTAGTTTGTAAAGCTTGATTTAGGTATGGTTGAAGAACTTTACAACTCCCTGGAGCATTACCTACAGCAAGTTCGTTCTAATTTCAAGCAATTAAAAAAGCTAGCCGTGTCTTTGGTGAACACGAATGAACAGGTCTTTGTTAAAAGGCTCCCAAGAGTACACAAAAGGCTTTACAATGATGAAATTAACAGCGGGCAAACTATAGTGTTTTCTTCGCAATTTTAAATGATTGCCGACATTAAAGAGATCACGGACAAACCAATAAGTGATATAGATAAAAAAAAGAAAGTATATTTTGAATTGAACTCTCTGTTTGGTTTTCTTGTGAACCTCCGCAGCGTGGAATCTTGGAGATTACTTGCAGTGCACAACAACTTGTTGACCAATATCCTACTGATCTTAACTTTTACTTATTGAACGAATGCCTTCTTTTTGGAAATATCGCCGCTATATCGACTAAATAGCTTTTATTAGGAACGTTTTTAAGATTTTTCTTTCGTTCAAATAGAAAACCGGGTATTGGACTCCATTTATCTAAAATCATCATTTGCAAGCATAAAATGCAGACTAAACGTATTTTAAAACCTTTACTAACTGTAACTTGTTTTTAACCATAAATAACGTGAGAATCTTCTTTAAATACAAAAGAAAATACATTATAAAGCCATAGCGCAACAGTTACAAAGATTTTTTAATTTTAAACTGCAGTTAAATTTGAATGCTGGAGGCCAACTGAGGCCAGGAAGCCTAAAGTGTCGGGAGGCTACAAAGTACTTAACCCAGCCCTGCCACTATACAACTTTGGCAAAATCATGGGTTAGAAAATCTTTGCATGAATTTGTTATTATGCGTCATAAAGTCCATTAACACAAAGAATTAACATCAAGTAGGATTAAAAACATCAAGTACTATGTTAACTCATTGATATCATTTTTACATTTATTAATTTATTTTTTGAAAACTCATTGCTCTATGTAACAAATGGTTGGGTGAAAAATTATCTTTTTGAAACACAAAATTAGTATTCTATTTTATGAAAGAGTTACAAATCAAAACATTTTTTAATATGAACGAAAAGGTCTATAATATGAACGAACAGGTCTATAATAGCTCAAACAAAAAACTTATTCTTATACATAAAGTTTCATAAAATATATATTTTTATAATGTCTTTTTAAGATTAAAGAACTTGAAGGAAAACAAATCAAGTGGTGTTGATAACTTAGATTCAGCTATATTAAAAAACTGCGCATCAGCATTTGCTAATCCACTTATTAGGAGCAAATGTTACTCCTCTGTACAAAAAAGATGAAAAAACCTTAGCAGTAAACTACCGACCGATATCACTCACCTCAATTGCTTGTAAAATAATGGAAGGTATAATGAGATGTAAACTTGAAATTTTTCTGAATGAGTATAAACTCATAGTCAAGCAGCAGCACGTTTTGTTAAAAGTAAATCATGCACAACAAATCTACTTGATACAATAGATTTTATTTCCACCAGTTTAGAAAATGGTAAACCTTTTTTAAGATCTTTAACGGTTTCAACAAATTAGAAACAAAAAGAAAGTTTAATTTTCAACAAACTCAAACAAGAGGTCACCGGTTTAAGTATGTAAAAGAAATCACTAAGCAAGCTCATCGAGAAAACTTTTTCTTTAACAGATCAGCCAACTTATGGAATATAGCTTGCCAAACGATATGGTTAATTCAGAAACAGTTAACAGTTTTAAAGCCGGTCTTGATGACTGGATGAGCAGCAGTCAGGCAAATTAGCTGTCATAGTGTGCTAATAACACACTCACTGGTTCATACCAGTTACAGCATTTAATAATAATAATAATAAAAATAATAATAAATATAAATATGTAAAGTTTCATAAAATAGTTTCTTATAGATGAATGAAGCAATTAGATATAGAAATTCTTGAACAATTAAAAATAAAAAATGAAAAAATCTCTTAAAAGTAAAGTTCTTCTGTTATTTAAAAATTGTAAGTATCAATATAAATGTAGTTATTAAAGTATTGAAACAAATAAAAATCATTGACTGCAATTGGTTTGAATAATATATTTAGGTATTGAGTAAAGTTATTAAATTTGACAAAAAATTATTTCCTTACCATGAGGATGGGTTGTGTATTTTGATGTCATCACTTTTTTTTTTTAATATTACCGTATTTTTTTTAGTATTACCTTTTTTTTTAAAGTATTTTATTTGAACATAATTTTCAAGGTAAAAATACAAATTTGGCTAAAACGTAAAACTAGATTCGAATTTCCTATTCCAATAATATAATATGAAGCAATTTAAATGTTAAAAAATTTATACTTTTCATATTTTAATTGGAATTTATAGGTTTTCATATTTAAAAGACAATGTCGCTAAAAAAAAATAAAACTCACCACTTATGTTCTTGTTCTAAATATAATAATAATTTAGTAAATTTTACATAACTTCGCGGGATAAGTCTAAAAAAGTACTTTTTTAGACTTATCCCACGGTTTATAACGACAGGCTTGGCTCATTATTAAAATTTGCCACCTGCACTTTACTCTGGCTGAATAAAAGTTGTAATTGTTATTTAATCAATGATTGTGTTTCTTAGAAAAATAGATGCAAAAATATCAGATTGTTATTTGTGTTTTTTTACACATCATTAGGCCGGGTGAATAAAAATAAGCAATTGCTTTTACTAAGTAACTGGTCAGCTTAACATGAATAAATATTTCAGCAATTTTCCTTAGTTTTTTATTCGCGTAAAGCTGAGCAATTACTGAGTTAAAGCAATTGCTCATTTTTATTCACCCGGCCTATTACGTTATAACTACATGACATAATATAATGCAACGTAAAAAATATAATACCACGTATAACATAGCATAATAAAAAGTGGTTCAACAAGTATAACTAAGTACAACGTAAGTTAAAATTGTTTCTTATCATAAAAACCACCAATATTTTTTAAAAATAAAAGAATAAAAATAAGAAAAGAAAAAAAAAAAGACAAGAATTTTTTTGTTATTTCAGATAAATACATGTTGTTGTAAAGGAAATCTCGTAGAAGTCTATAAAGACTTACCATCGAGTACCTCTTTAATGGTTAAATAAAGTCTATTTCATTTTTATATACAGTCAAAAGTGGTTAAATAATATAAAGTCAATTATACACATAAATATTTTAGTATAAATTCTAATGTTAAGTTTAATAAATGTTTTATTCATCGTTAAAGTGGTAAATCTGTTTGTTTGTTTTTCTCAGTTCGTTTTGCTTAATTTTTTAAACTATTTATCAAGTTAACTTTGTCACTTTGATTTGATTTGTAAATAGTTGATTAAATTGCCTAATTAGAAAGTACTCGATTACCCAAATTGACTCAATTTTAATTACCTAAATTGACTAAATTCATTTACTAGATGGATTTTTGTTGATGATCAATAAATGTTTACACTTTAGTTCAGATCTCTATAAAACGTCAAAAAAAAATTTGATATACGTAGACAATCATGAATCATATTTAATGTCACTATAACAGCGTCATAACTCATCTTTAATGCCAATATAACAGCGTTATTAATGAGGCATATCGAAGATCTAGATTTGAAAATCTAATTTAGTTTAAAAACAATAAAATGGGTCACTCTTTAAATCATTTACTGCAAAACGAATTTTTTTTTCACCAAAAAGAACTTGTTATTAAAATAAAGCATAAAATAATGAACAAAAATATGAAGTTAATTTTGTTAATAAGTAAAAAAGGGCAAGAATGGATATAATAAATAAGAAAGCTAAAGTTGAAGCTGCGAAATAGTTTATTGTTATACAGGTGGGAATTTCCTTTGTTTTTATACAGGTTATAATGTTATACTATATTACACCTTTATTTATATTTATATAATAAACTGAATTTGAAGTTGCATCAATTAAAAATTAAAAAAACACAAGAAAATCATTTATTTATAAACCCACTTTCCAAATTAAAACAAAAAAAACGTTCCAACAAATTTAAATAAAATTTTTATAAATGCTAATTGCATGTTATATTATATTATACCTGTATATTATTATACAGGTAAAAAAATTTTTTTTTTGTTATACTGGTGATAAATTGTTTAAAATGTTCAATTGTTACATTAATTAAAATATTTGGTATACTGGTGCCATCTACAAAAAAAACGATCAACTAAGTTGAGAAAAATATCAAACTTAGTATTATTATGAGTTTATTGATCTGTCAAAGGTTTTTGACATTGTTAACCATGATATACTTTTTTTTTACAAGAATAGAAAGAAAGTTATTGTTTAATACTTTTATGAAGTATTTAACAATAACTTTCGGGTTTACGGGTTACCGATCAATCAGGAAGTAAAACATAATATATTTAGCAAATGATACAAAAAATCACGTAATAACTTGTGGTGTTCCCTAGCAATCAACCACAGGAACATTATTATTCTTATTTTATATAGTAAGCTAAAAATTGTAAAGCAATTAGAGCGAGTTGCAAAACACTAAGAGATGATTAAATAAAATTTGAAATTTATCAATGACTATAAATTTAGTTAAATATAGTATTAAAATATTTTATTGACTTGTTGACTTCACGTTTGGGGCAGTTGCAAAATAAATATGCGAGCTATTTGTTTCCAGGCTCCAATAATCGCAATTTTTTGCAAAACATATAAATGTTTAGAGTTTGCTCTATGTCTGGAAGTTAGCTATATCAAACATTAAAAAATCTACGCCTAGATGTTAAATGAAAATTTATAATGGAAATTTTATATTGTGTTTATATATATATATATATATATATATATATATATATATATATATATATATATATATATATATATATATATATATATATATTTAAGCATAAATATATATATATAAACATAAATATATATATATATATATAAACATAAATATATATAAAAGTATATATACATATATATATATATATATATATATATATATAAACATAAATATATATATATATATATATATATATATAAACATAAATATATATATATATATATATATATATATATAAACATAAATATATATATATATATATATATATATATATACATATATATATATATATATATATATATATATATACATATATATATATATATATATATATATATATATATATACATATATATATATACATATATATATATATATATATATATATATATATATATATATATATATATATATATATATATATATATATATATAATATAGATATATATATATATAGATATATATATATATATATATATATAGATATATATATATATAGATATATATATATATATATATATATATATATATATATATATATATATATATATATATATATATATATACATATATATATATATATATATATATATATATATATATATATATATATATATATATATATATATATATATATATATATATATATATATATATATATATATATATATATATATATATATATATATATATATATATATATATATATATATATATATATATATATATATATATATATATATATATATAGTGAAAGTATGTTTTGAAACTGAATTTTTATAAACTATATGCTTTTTGTTTATTCATAGTTATCTTACCTATTGCATGGGGACCAGTTTTACTATATTGATAAAAATCTATAGTTAACGAAATGTGTATGCGGGATTATAATTGGCGTTAACAAAACGATTAATGGCATTAACAAAACGATTGATAGCATCAATAAAACGATAGATGAAAAATCTCTTTGAAGACAACTAAATGCTCTTTATATTTACAAACTACACATTAAGTTTTGCTGTTCATGTTTTAACGAAATATTGTTACTCTAATATATTTCATTCTTTTTTTATAAAAATTTCTCATAAATGCCCCACACAGTTTTGTGTGGGGTATTTATGAGAAATTGCATTATTGTGGACCATTTCTGTAAAGAAGTTATTTGAAAATAAAATTGTTTTAAAATTTCAAAACAATTCAGATAAGAATTTTAACATATTAGAAAAATATTAGAAAAATATCAGAAAAGTATCAGAAAAATATTAGAAAAAGAATTAATAAATCAATGAACTGGAAAAAAAATTATCTGACTCACTTATTTTTGTCTCTATTGGATTCTTATTATTGATTTCTTTACCACATTTTTCAAATGTGGTAAAGAAACCCATAGAGAGTTAATGCTTTTATGTATGAAAAAAAGAAGAACTTAATGAAAAATAAATAACAGGAAGAACATACGTTAAATCATACGTTAAAGACGTAAAAGTTTTAAAAAAATTGATTCAAAAAAAAAAAAAGTAGTTAAAAATTTTACTCAGCAATCTAAATAAAAATAAGTTTTTTCACCTTCAATATAAGTAAGAAGTTATCACCTTCAATATAAGAAGTTATCACCTTCAATATACGTAAGAAGTTATCCCCTTCAATATACGAAAATAAAAAGAAGTTATCAATAAACGTAAGAAGTTTTCACTTCAATAAACGTAAGAAGTTTTCACCTTCAATATACGAAAACATAACAACGTTTACAAATCATTAGAAAACCGAGAAAATTAAAAAAAAAGTTATTTTTATAAAATTATTAAAAAAGCCACAAGTGTTGAATAAATATATTTTTATTTAAATGAATGTATTTTTATTCCAAGAATAGATGTCATTAAGTCAACGAGCGTTAAAATCAACTTAATTGCACAATTAGCATATAAGTCCAAAGTTATTAAACATTTTTAAATATAAACGGAGTTGTAAAAAATCAATTATTAAAAAAAGAAATAAAGCTACAACAAGAACCGCAAAAACAAGGAAGCGACCGCCTACGTTGATTGTCAGGCACGCCACTAAATAAATTAAACTATAATAAAAAAGCAAAACCAAATTAAAAGTTTACAACTAATCATTCTTAAAAATATTTTTTTTAAAAAGTTTCCATCAAAGTATTGATTTTTTATCAAAAAGAAGGTGTTAAGAATGCTAACATTGGATCTAGGATAACAAGGTCTCATTTCTGCTCTAGGCGTTAGAGCAGCATTGGTCGGAACTTGCTTTATAAGCGCTTTACCAAAGTTAGGACAGAAGCCATTAGATCTTCTAGAAACTAGGGACTTAGAAATAGGGATTTCGAAATCCAGTTATTTATATGAGAGAGCGCAATACAAAGCTTAAATAAGAATAAGTTTTGCACTACGCTCTGGTCCATAAATAAACGAATTTCAACATTACCTACTATGAACCTATAAGATGGCTGAATTGTTTTTTAAAATTTGTGAAACAAACCGTTAGCACTAATTTAATCTCTCGAATATAAAGTGTCACAGGTTTATTTAACGCCTATTAAAACTGTTGGTGTTCGGAGCAACTAGAATTTAAAAGAAAAAACATTATGTAAAAAAATAATTTGAAGTTAAATCAATTAAAAATTAAAAAACACAAGAAAATCTCATTTATTTATAAACGCACTTTTTAAATGAAAACAAAACAAACGTTATAACTATTTTAAATAAAACCCTTTATAAATGCTAAAATTGCAATGTCGTTACGTCATAAATTTATTAACACCGTTTTATTTATCCAATCACATTGCATATTGTGGTTTGGAAAAGCATTTATCACTTGGTCGTTAGGATTCACTATCTTCCAAATTAAAAATCATTTGTAAATATATGTATATATGCACTATAAACGTTTCTCTAAATATGTGCAAAATTATTTTGTGAATAATTTTATATCTTGAATATACTTTATCAATTTTGAAAAAAAATATTTAAATTATTGGTGAAAGTATCGGTACTTGTATGATATTCATAAGCACAAAATATGGCACGTATCGTTCCAGACCAAAAAACCAAGTTTGAGACGGACGAATTATTCCGAAAATTATCAAAAAAATCTGAGGTAAGATAAAATAATTTGTTTAAAAAATGCCACTTGATAACACTGTTATAAAAATATGATTTTCAAAAGCTGTTATAAGGTTGTAACAAAAACTTTTAAAACTTTTTTTTTAAAACTTTTAAAAAGTTTTAAAACAACTTTAGATTTAAAACCATATATTGCAAACTGACTTTTTTAGGAGTAAAATTTATTTAAAGTATAATGAAAAATAGTTGACGCATAAGTTATTTTTTTTATAAACAACCATAACGGAATAGAACACGCGTAATTAATAAGCAAAAAGCAGTATATTATCGTCCTAACATTTAGGGATAAAGTAGGCACAAGTTTTAGGGTTTTTATTACTTTTAGACTCCAATAGTATTTTTGCAAAGCATTTTTAATTAATACATACCTAGCTCAGAGCTTTGCCCCATCTCTGAAAGTTATCGTTAATAATATTTAAAAACTTTTTTTTAAGATCTTACCTTGAATATGCCGTCTCTTTTTGGGCTCCTTCTCTTGAATCTATTCAACAAAATGAACATCAATCCTAACGAAAAAATATAAAATCTACCATCACATAAGTTTCGGTGCCTACCGTTCGATCTAATCTAAATCTATAAACAGTTTTGATATAATTAAAGAATATTTATATCATATTGTTAAATGTTTCTTGGTGTTTTTTCTCCTCGCTGCATATATTTTATGTTTATTTTACGGCTGTATTAATAAAAATAGAACATCAAAAAAAGTTGCCACAATCTTTATTAAACCAACCTCTGTCTAGACCTCTGTTGAATATATGTTTTTTAATCTCACGAAAATTCTAGTTAAAAAAGAACAGTCCAAGTAAAATTGATGAATTCAATAAGTTTTAACTTTATAGTTGTTATGTTTTTTTGTTTAGAAACTTCATATTCAAAATTAAGATTTCTAGCAAAATTATGAAATAGAACAACCGTATTCATTCACAACATCAAATCTAGTTTCATCTGATTCATTAGAAATTACTAAAAAAATTAAACATACTTTACAAATATTTTTATAAAATGTACCTGACAGACCTTCCATTTCAGAAACTGTCCATTATTTACGTTAACAGTTTTTCGGGAATTTTTACCTTCTTCTCCCTTTTGTCAACAACTTATCAAAATTCCAGGGATACCCATATAAAATTACGTTTACATTTGATTTGATTTTAAGGAGGAGGGGGAATTCACCTACTCACTCCACCAAATGTCACAGGAAAAGCCAATTACTTCTAATAGAGTCTAATATAATAAAAACTGCATTTAATAAGTTGCATAAAACAGGGGGTCAGCAGCCTTATGAGGCAGAAGAACCGAAAATTGCAATTTACAAAGTTTTTCAGATTTTAAAGAGCTACCAACATCTTTGTTTAAATATTATATTATTATTTGTGCATGGAGCTAAAGAGCTACATCTTGACATCAAAAGATCCACATGAGGCTTGCAAGCCGCAGATCGCTGACCCCAGGCATAAACGTTTAAATAATATCATGTAGACTATGCACAAACATAAATCTTTTTTGTTGCACAACAGACTAACCAACAACAACTTTGATAAAATAATAGTGTTGCGAGTAAACATGTTGTATGAGAATATTTAGTTTCGTATGCGCCACGTCTTATTAGAGCACAACACGGTTTTTAAAATATTAGGAATATAAAAAACTTTTTCAAAATACTGAAGGTTGAGCAAGTGCGTAGCACAGGATCGCAAACAATGCTTAATTTTTCCTTTTTTAGTATTTAAATCTACTAAAAAAAGTAACATTGTTGACGTCAACTTGTCTTGTCCTAGACATTAGACCTAGTCTTCAACACCAAATAAATTGTTGAGACTTATTTGGTGTTTGAAACATCTTCGACGTTAAGTTTAAACTGCAAACTTTTGTTTACTAGTGAAAGTTTGTAATGCTTATGTTCTAAATAAAAATGACTAAACAAAAAGAAGTATAAAGTTTATAAATATAAACATTTGTAATGCAAGTGCAATATTTATAATGCAATATTTATAAAAAAAATGTGTGTGTGTGCGTAATAAAAATTATTACCTGCTGTCAAACCAATAAAAAAAACCTCACTTTACGTATAGTGAGGTGACCAACTCGCTAACATGTTACTTAGGAGAGCGTAGTAAAATAATATTTTTAACAAGGTTAACACTGCTCTGTCTCTTAAAAAGAGGCGAGCTGATTACCTTTTCTAAGTAATAAAAACGGTCAAAATAAATTTTATTTAAGCACCTAAACTTTACTAGACTTATCTTAGTTATCGCTGTTATTGTATTAATATTATTTTAACTTATGATAAAGAGAATAAACAGTGTTACTTAATAAAATAAGAAACTCTATTAGTTTAAATGATTATACAGTGTTGTTACAATCACAATTAATAGTGCGTCATAGCTATAATAATGACGTTTTAAACTTGTCATTATTAACTTAACAATGAATTTCAACAATCTAAATGACGTTTTTAAATCTGCTAATTATGTTGAATGACGTTGATGATTCTTCTTTGAGTTGAAAAAAAGTTTTAAAATATATATTTTTTATAAAACTCTAATTGCGTCAATAAATACTAACTTAAATGGTTTAAAATGTAAGGACATCATTTCAAAGACAAAAAAACCTTAGAAATAAAGTTAAAATAGAAATAAAAAGTTCATATTACGTTGTACAAAAGCAAAATATTTCATTTATTCAGATACGATATACAGGTTATCGAGATCGAGGACACGAAGAAAGAGTTGTTCGTTTCCAAACTGAATGTTTTGAAGGAAGATGCAGTGTGGTAAATTTAGTCATTATAAATGATTTTTTTCCATGCAAGTGACAATAGCTTATGATAAATATATATATATGTAATAAGAGTTTCAAAATATATGTATATATCCATCCATGAATATATATATCCATCGACAAACATTGCAACCCCCTCATATTGAGGGGGTTCAAACTTTTTGTGGTTATAGTTTTTGAACGCTAAAAGATTTTTGTGTGAATTTTAAAATTTGTTGAAGAATATATACTTCGTTGAGAATAGTATAAAAAATTTTATCAATTTGTTGCTCTCACATTTCGGGCAGATGTAGCCAAAATTTTAATGTTTTTTGTTCCCGGGCTCCAATCATTGCAATTTTTTGCAAAACATTCTTATTTGATATAAGTATAAACATTTAAATTTTTGGAGTTTGCTCCATGTCTGGAAGTTAGATATCTCAAATATCAAAAAATGCTGCATCTGCGCCTGAAATATGTTTGTAGTTTTTGCTTACATTCTAATATTACTATTTTTAAGGCATTTATATCATCGGGAACTAATTTGCTTTTGTTTTTGGGCCCGCAGTCAAAAGAAAAGAAAAGTATGATTCCATCAAAAGAATTTATGGATTTTGATAAAGAATTGGGAAAGGTATAAAGTTTATTAAATTTGTATGTATATATATATATATATATATATATATATATATATATATATATATATATATATATATATATATATATATATATATATATATATATATGTATATATATATATATATATATATATATATATATATATATATATATATATATATATATATATATATATATATATATATAAATTAAAATTATAAAACATTAATTTTTACGAGTTCTCTTAATATTATTGTTAATTTATTTCAAATTTTCGCTGGATTATAGTTACCAGCATCATCAGCTATAATATCGTAATTAAAAATTACAATAATTGTAATTTTTAATTACGATATTATTGCTAATGATGCTGCTCGTAACTATTATCCAGCGAAAATTTCAAATAAATTAACAATAGTATTGAGAGTACTCGTATTAATTGATGTTTTATATTTTTAACATATATACTCTCATACAAGATGTCAACATTCAAATCATTTATATATATATATATATATATATATATATATATATATATATATATATATATATATATATATATATATATATATATATATATATATATATATATATATATATATATACACACACATATATATATATATATAATAATTTATACTTTATGAAATAATTTATACTTTGTGAAGAATATAAGACTATTAAACTTTTCATTGGGATATATGTTGTAAAGGGTTTCATGATTAGATCGTGTGATCTTCTAGAGGCCCTGCCGGTAATATATTCAATGTAAACTTAAACAAAAACCTTATTTAAACCATGGAAGTAAAAAACATATGAAAGTTCATCGAGCTGCAAACATCAAACGCTTCTCCCAGATAGAGGGTTTAGGTTGAAGATGAAGGTACCTGGGATTTTTTTTTAGAAGAATTATCAGAAAGACATACTCAAATAAGATTAGCCAAAAATTAAAATTGTACCCGCTCCTAAAATTAAATTTCATGTTTGTTTTTTTTTTTATTGGTAACTAATTATGTACCGAAACTTTGTTGTCTATGGCACTGCAGATAGTCTAATAAATTTCAAAAAATAACGAGAGTACATTTATTTTTTTAAATTAAATATGTTATATATATTTACATATATGTAAACTTATATATTTAAAATTTAAAATCTGTGTGTAAAGTATATTATGTATTTTAGCTGGAAAAAAATAAGAAATCATCAGGAGAGCAAAGATATAATTTGTTTTAGATGTTGCAACAAGAACAAACAATGAGAAAAAGATGTACTTATCTTCTTTTGTTTTTTGTTTTTTTGTTTTTTTTGTCATTTTAAATCTGTCACTTTTTATAAAAAAAGTTTTAGTTTCTTAAATGCAAGATATATAAAAAAATTTTTACAGAAAGGAAAAAGTGTCAAAAGTGCAGAAACCTCCTGCAAAGAAAAAGAGTTACTATTTCAATGCTTGGCAGAATACAAGTGGTGTCTGAATTATGTCAATGTCCAATCTGTAGTTTCGCAAGGGACACTAGAAGTAATATATAGATGAACTTAAGGGAGTTCATTGACCCCATCTAAACACAGGAAAAAAAAGTAATCCAAATTCAAGTTCTTATACTGATGCCTCAATGTGTGGAGATATATTTTCAATATATAGGAAGAGGTATTAGACACCCATGTAATAGAAAGTCAACTGCTAAAAACTTGAAGAGATTATCTCTCCAAAAAAGATTAGTTTAGATCAGTATTTAATATCAAAAAATTACATGATTTGATGCTGAACGGTAGTAAAATTTTCATCACAAGATTGTAAAAACTCCATTAAAACTTTATTCTCATGAAAGTTATTTAATTGCTTAAGTTAACAATGATACAGAAAGATGTTTTAAGATGATATCTATGCAAAATTACATGATTTGCCTGAATGTATCATTAAAAGTATGTTGACTGACAATAGAAAATATGTTGGTCGATCAGGATTTGAAACCAATGTGGAGATTGGGGTGAATAAAAAGTCCCATTCACTAAATTAGTTTTATTGCGTTCTGCAATTGACATTTCAGCAAGGTGCTTACCATACAGAGGTTTAAAAAGATGTAGTATATGCGGAAGATATACCTTTGCTTGTTGATGAAATATACAAAGAAAGAGGTTGTTCTCCAAAAATCAGTTGTGAGGATTGGTATCGACGGCGGCCAAGGGTCAATTAAATTTGTTATGAACTTTTTTCAATCAGAAAAACTTGAGGATCAATTAAGGAACCAAATAGACTCGGGTGTAAACAAAGTTATTTTATTGACAATTGTCCGACATGTTGAAGAAAACAATTACAGTTTAGCCCAAATTGTCCACCTTCTCAAACATCATGAATGGAAGTACTTTCTTGCATCAGATCTTAAGCTTATCAATATTATGCTCGGATTATCTGCCTACGGTGGGAATTATACATGCACTTAATGTATTACTGCACAAGACAAATTAGGAGAATTAAGAACCTTTGGTAGTTTATTACAACAGTATCAGCAATTTGTTGATGCAGGAAAACCACACAAGTTAATGCAGAACTTTTTTAATGTCATCAACTTATGTCTTTTTAATGAGAGCCCGGACAGCCTAATATTGGATGTTATATCTCCACCAGAGCAGCATCTCTATGAGCATATTATCATACAAGTGTCAAGAGTACTATTTTTAAAAAAGACTTTAACTAAGTTCTTAGAAGAAAAAACTTTTACTCAGCATGGCTATTATGGTGGAAGACTAGATGGCCCTAATTGTCAAAAGGTTCTAAGGTCATTAGATGAGATGATAACTGTAGCGCCGCTGAAATACCACGAGTGCATTAACACACTAAGAAAATTTAAAGCAGGTAAATATTATTTTAAAAATAATATTAATATACTTGAAGATATTAATAAGTTGTATCATTTTATTTGTAGTGGCTGAGAGTTGTTTTGGAATGACATTAGATCCGTCTTATGGTTATAAAACTAAAGCTTTCATCGATTCCATTGACTACATGAACAATTTTATTCAATATAATTGTTCGATGTTCAATTATTGAAGAAAGGTTTAACATCAGTATGTCACTCGGATGGAAATATCATATCATTAAATATCACTTGAAAGATTATTTGGAACGCAATCAGATGTCTCTCGGTCTGACATCAGAACAAACCTTAGAAGCTGTTCACAAGAAAACAATAAGGGGAAGGGTGCTAAAAATATTTTTTAAATTTAATTAAACTAGATTTAATTGTTTCAATATTTTCTTAACCTTATAGGGTAAAGTGTTGTTAAATGATAATACAACTGTCAACATATCATTGTTATTATTTAAAAATAATATTAATTTTGCAGTGGATTTTCGTTAATTTGATGTCATTCGCTACTTTCAAGATTAAACATTTATAAATAACAGATTTAAAGGTTGATGGGAAGTGGGGGGAGAGCTGTAACACCAAAGCCCTCTACATTTGAGAAATTAATGGGGCTGCATCCCTCTAAGCTCCGCCTTTTCCGCCTGTTCCGCCAGCCCTACATTCATACATTGTCATTATAATTTTAAATTGTAAGACTACTTATGCTCCATAGGGTCTATTTAAGCTATCTGCGGCACCAAAGACAAAAAGGTTATGACGGTAAAAATTATCACTATTAAAAATTAAAAAAATCATCAAATTCTCAATTTAGAAGCGGCTCCCATTTTAATTTTTTTTTTAGCATTAATCTACTAAACTCACCTGATAATTAAAATAAAACCCAGGTACCTTCAACCTAAACCCCTTATCTGGAAGCAGTACAAATCAATTTCAAGTCGTCTCGGGAGTATGCTTGTAACCGACAATAAAGTTTCACTGGATAACAAAACAACAAAGTTCACTAAAATGATCTTTATTAAAACATTAAAAAATGAATTATTCTAGGGATATGCTACAAATTTTCAATTATTAATAATTGCAATTATTCAAAAAAAGGTTTATTAAAACTCGGTAGTTAAATAGAACCACTTGATTTTAAAAGCATATGGTAGTTTAAGCTTTATTTCTTGAATCAAGTCATCACACAACATTTGATAAAAAAGACAACTAAAACATTTTTTAAAAAATCAAAAAAACTGTTTTCTAAATAACTAAAGTTAAAGTTTTATTAGCTGTATATCATGACTCCATTCATTTTTGTAATATGAATTTATAATTGTTAATATGAATATTATTATTATTATTATTTTTATTTCTTGAATATTATTGGCGAACCTTTATTTTTAAATTATATCAAACGTACCTATTTGCGTCAACGTATAAAGGTTAGGCGTTTAAGTATAGTCTTGATGTCGTTTTCTGATTGTTTCTAAACAAAAGGTTACGAGCATAGTCCCAAAGAATTTCAATTCAGTTGAACTTTCATATGTTTTATACTTCCATGATTAAACATAAGACGAAAATTTTGGACCTTTAGTCAGCAAATGTCAAACAAAGAGAACTTATCCCCCCCCCCCCCTCCCCACTCTTCCTGTAAAGATTTTCCGTGTCGACCTTGCAAATATATATATATATATATATATATATATATATATATATATATATATATATATATATATATATATATATATATATATATATATATATATTAAACTTATAATTTTTTATCAGGTTCACCTGAAAAGTTGTTTTGTTATGAACGGAGTATCTGTTAAATTTCGAGGATGTATTGATTTACAAAAGCTTGATGGCACCGGGTACTTAGAGTATGATGATTACAATGCAAAGGTTTTTTTTATCTTTTTTTAATCATTTAAAGTTTTTTCTGTTTTCTTTATTTATTTCAAAGAAATGTTGCAGTTTGGAACTTAAAATATTGTAGAAATGAGATAAAAAAGAAAATAAGTAAATGAAAACAAGTTAAACTTCAAATTACTTTTTTAAAGATTGAAGATACAATATTGAGAGATGCTGTCAACCAATCTATAATAAGGCAACAAAATTTTGAAGAAAGACAGTTAAGAATTAAACAGGAGTTGATGGATACTGAGGTATATTTATATGATAGATATAACACAGTTGGCACTTATTAGAAAAATGTTTTTTTTTTATTTTTGTTTTTATTTCAACAACAACAAAAAGTTAACTGATAACATATATGTAATATGTATCTTTTAGTCAATATTTCAAGGTACGCCGTGCCATGGAGCAGTATTTGGGTAAGAGAATAGTATCTTGAATGAAAATATATGGAACTTGAAACTCACGAATTTGTTCATTACGAATTATCGTAAAACTGGGCGAATAACATTGCTGTTTTGATACTTTAATTTATTTAAATATAATATTTTTTTTTAACTTGTCATTATAAAATCTTGAAAATATAAAGATTTTCCTAAAATCAAATCTATATGCCGAATGTTTTTATTTTTTAATTTTTTAATTTTTCAGTTTACACTGTTCCCCGAGTAAACGGGGTTATTAAAAGTGGACTTAAGAAAAAACAGGCTTTGGCGCTAAAAAAACATGTCACAAATTTTTACCAAATTTTTGCCTACTGTTAATTTTTTTATTATTAATAAATTATTTTCTCTGCTAATTACAAAAATGTAAAAACTTTTTCTCTTGCATCGATCGTTTTAAAGTTATTATGTTTTTAGCGCCTACCTGCACACCAAGCCTCACTAAGCAGAAATAGGAATTTCATTTCCTAAACACTTTTCCAATTTTAATGTTTTAATTTTTTTTTAAGGATTTAGGTTAGAAGTTCCTAATTAAAAAAAGATTACTTTAAACTTTTTTAATCTTGTTTTTTTAAGAGCTCTTAAAAAAGCAAAATGTGTAAATTATGCAGAAGTTTGATTTCTATCAAACTTCAAGCATAAAATTTTTTTTAACCATGAAATTCTCTCTCTAGAGAGAAAAATTTCATGGTTAAAAAATACATATTTTGATGTTTGAAGTTTGATAGAAATTCTGCATTATTTACACATTTTCAATTTAATTATATGTTAAATTAGTTAAGATTCATTTTTTGTAAAAATCAGGAAATCAATGGAAGTGACCTCTTCCAAATTGCTTGAATTTTTTATATTTTGATCAGAATATAGAGAAAACATATTAGAGAAAAATAAAACTTCAAAAATGTTTTGTTCACTTGGAATCTGGGCTTAAATTTTTGAGATTTTTTTAAAAAGTTTTAGAAATTTAGTTTTTGCCACTTTGGAAACCATTTTTTTGGCAAGACAAAAAGTTTCACATAGCTTTTGTAGTTAATATCAGACGTAACCCAAACGTTCTCTCCAAAAAATATAAAAAAGTTGCGTGATATTGTGTGGGTTGCTAGTTATCATAGTTCAAAAGTACAAAATCAATCAGTTTTGTCAATTTTTAATAGAAGTTATTTCTAGCGGCGAAGTGGTGCACACGATTTTTCTTTTAGGATTTAAAAGTATCAAAGGTATTAAGTCCAAAAATGCAAAGAAAGTTATGTGATATCTAAGGCCTATTCATATATGTAGGCTTGAAATTGAAAAAAAAATAAAACATTTAAATTTTTCTGTCACATTAAGTCATCGTTTTCGCCATAAATTTCTTTGTTATCGTTAATCTGACTATTTTTATCATTTTCTGTTGTCGGCTCTACCAGCATGCCTTTTCTTTTCAGGTTACTAAATCTGCAACAATATCAATTGTACATTTTTTTAAACATATGTAAACAAACACAAAAAATTACAACTTTCTCCATCAAAAGATTATTAATAAATAGCTCAATATACTCTTTTAATACAAATACTCTATAATACTACTTTTAAAGATGGTGAAAATATTCATTATACGCCGTAAAATATGAACTTCAGTAGCCTAATTTCTAATAACTCAAATGATATTCTTTAAATATGCTTACTGTTTAGATCAATTATGCAGCGCAACAATCTTTCTTTGTACTCTGGATGATTATTATTTCGCTTATACCTTGACCAATGTTGATAAAAATCTTGATGAGAAGTTTCGACAGTTTGTTTATTATAGGGCCCCAAGGGGGATCCTTTGTGACTTATGAAATCCTTGATATGGTAGAAGACGGCATGAATTTTGGGTGTTACACTTGCACCAGTTATCATTAGGTAACACGTTTTGAAATTTTTGATTTTTTCAGCGAATCCCGGCTGAAGGATGTATCCAAAGCAAGCCTTGACAACTAAATCGAAGATTTTGAATACTTTAATTATGCACACAATATTTGGAACCATGTTTGTCTCAGCAAGTTGCTGCATCATATCCACATTTTTAAGAAGCTTCCGGCATTCATTTCCCTCAAATTGGCCCCTGTGATACGGGGTCAGTTGAATGTGGAGGGCGGCTGGCTACTTAATAGCTTCTATCCAAGCTGTTTTAAGGATCTTGAAAAGATGGTTGACAACTACTAAGAGGAGATGCAATTTCATCGGTGGAATGATTTCCAAAATCAGAACATTGACAGGCCCGCAGATGATTGGTTTTCGAATGACATTGCCAAACAGTTTTGCATCGGTGCATTGCCAAACAGCTTTTGCAAGGGTACGTACTTGAATGAGTTTGAAGACCACAAATTATATTTGCAACTTTCATATCACAAGCCAAACTTAGTTTAGCTCCATTTGCATTAATCAGTGACCAGATTTGTTTAATATTGGAGTGTGTTTCTTGCAAATCTTCTAAAACCCCAACAATAATTTGTCTCTTGATTCCAGTGTCTTTACCAGTCCTTTGAGTAAAAGGTTGTTGTTGGTGCGGTGAGCTAGTTTCATCCCTTTAAGCAGTATCAACAATGTTTAGGCAACACATGAGAAAATCTTTGCCACCATCAATTTCGAGCTTAACACAATAGCCACCAGAAATTTTGCAGGACTGAATAAAATGATTCACAAGACTTGATAAATCATCGCAGTGAGCAACAACATGAACTGTACAAGAAGCTGTTTTTTCGTCTGTGATTTTTAAGTTGCTGCAGGTGAAGAAATTGCTCAATTGTTAACCTAGTCTTAAAAAATTCATGTAGAAATTTCGTTATACCATATTGCTGCTTGATGTTTTGCTTACAGCTCTTACAAGTTTCTTTAATCCGTTGATTAGCGTCACTCCTTTGATCAGATTTCTGTATGAGTGACACCATCCTAATAAATCAATAAACCATCATAATAAATCAAAGATGTAAAAATTGAAAGAGCGCATAGAGCTGGTAAAAAAGATATAAAAAAGCACAGAACAAATGTTGTGAAATTATTGGATTTTAATGATAAAGAAGCAATTTTAAAAAACTCTTCAAAATTAAAAGGAAAGAATATTTTTACCAATGAAGATTTTTGCGCGGAGACAAATCGAATAAGAAAAGACTTGCGAGAGAAAATGAAAATTGAAAGACAATTGGGAAAATTTGCATATATTTTCTACGACAAGCTTATTGTACGCGAGTGGAATGCAAAAAAAAAGTAATTTTTTTTTTTAATTTTATTTATTTGTTTACATTATATTTAAATATACGTTATATGCTAAAGTGGTATGCAATAAATTAATCACTAAGTCTTCCTAAAAGACTTTCAACATGTCGCACACTATTATTTAATGCCAAATCTAAATTATAGCGAAAATGGAAACAAATAATAATGATTTTGAAAAAATAATTAATTTATTTGAAACCCATGCATTACACTTAGACGACGAATCCGATCCGGATATTAATTATTTTAATGAAATTAATTCTCCTGAATTTGAAACCTCTTATTTTTATCCTAGTAACGTGAGCAAAATTTTAAAAAGCGAAAATAGAAGTGATTATCTTAATGCAGTCTACATTAATATACGTAGCTTAAAAAAAAATTTTGAAAACTTATCAAATTTTATTAGCGAAGCGGAAAGTTCTTTTAATTTAATTTGTTTAACTGAAACCTGGTGTTTACATGCAGATTTTAAAAATAACTCAAATCTCCATCTCCCAGGTTTTGATCCAGTAATTATAAAACGAAGTACAAATAAGCGAGGAGGAGTTTCATTTTTTGTTAAAAATGACCTTCTATATAAAGTTCGAAGCGAAACGTGTGTTTCTGATGAAAACAAAGAGATTTTAACAATAGAATTTATAAATAAGCGTTCAAAAAATATACTAACAAGCTGTTGTTACAGGCCACCAACTGGAAGAATTGAAAACTTTGGCAATTTTTTACTAAATAACATAATAAAGAAAACTGATCTTGAAAAGAAAAAAAATTACTTGATCGGGGATTTCAACATAAACTCCTTTGATTATTATGAAAATCAAAGTTCGAGAAAATTTTTTAATGGTTTATTTGAAACTGGAACAATACCTTTAATTAATCGCCCGACTAGAATCACAAGTCATTCATCATCATTAATTGATAACATTTTAACAACCGATTTTTTTAAGAAGTCGCTAAAAAAGGGAATTATAAAAACCGATGTTTCCGATCACTTCCCGATTTTTTTTTCTATATGTGTTAATTTAAAAAAAGAGAAGCAGGGAAAGTTATTAATAAAAAAACGGCTTATCAACAACAATAATTTAAATTCTTTCAGAGAACAATTATCACATATAGATTGGGGTTATATTAATTTTAATGATAATATCAACATAATCTACGACAATTTTTTCAAAACTTTTTACCAAGTGTATGATTCCAACTTTCCTTTAATTGAAATAGTTTTAAGCGATAAAGAAATGTCATCTCCCTGGATTACCAAAGGTATCAGAAAATCATCAAAAATTAAGCAGAAGCTATACATTAAATACCTAAAATCAAAATCAGAAAAACATAAACAAAATTATAAAACTTATAAAAACTTATTTGAAAAGCTTCGCAAAAATGCAAAAAAAAACTACTATTCAAACTTGCTTAATAAATATAAGCACAACTCAAAACGCGTCTGGCAAATCATGAAGGAGGTGTCTGGAAAACTTAAACCAAATAAAAATTGACTCCCAAATTTTATACAAATTGAAAACAAATTAATAAATGACCCAAATGATATTGCATTTGAATTTAACAAGTTTTTCTCCACTGTCGGGACAAAACTAAGCGATAGTATTTCATTCATTAAAGATAAATCTGTTGACGAGTTCGAAACATCAATAAGTCTAAATCTAAATTTAACTGAGTTAGCTTTTAATGAATTTGAGGTTGCTTTTAAGTCATTAAAACGAAATAAAGCTACTGGGTATGATGATATTAACACAAATATTGTGGTTGATTCATACGATGTTATAAAAGATATTCTTTATAAAATCTTCAGAGCATCCATTTCACAAGGGTCTTTTCCAGATAAACTAAAAATAGCGAAAGTAACTCCAATCTTCAAGA